AACATTTCTGGTTCAGAGCACTGTGGCTAGCAAATCCACCATAATGGTCTTCAGTTTCACTCATATCTCTCAAAATGTAAAGATTAATAGCTTATGAGAAGAAGCAGAATACAAAGATAGAAAGATCAAATCTCCAGTATTTATGAGGCTACCTATGGTACAGCAGAATGTGGTGCTACAGCATTTTTGAGTCAAAGCACTCTCTCATGGGGAGGGTCATCGGCACTCTGACTATTCATAGAATCACAGAATCATAGAATCACAAGGTTGGAAAGGATCTACAAGATCATCTAGTCCAACAGCCTTCCTGTTACCATTGCTACCATAAGCCTCTAAACCATATCTCACAGCTCCTCATCCAGACGACTCTTGAACACTGCCAAGGATGGCGACTCCACCACCTCCCTGGGCAGCCATTCCAGTGCCTGATCACTCCCTGAGAGAAAGAGTTTTTCCTTGTGTCTAATCTAAACCTCCTCTAGTGCAACTTGCGGCCATTTCCCCAGATCCTGTTCGTTGCCTGGGAGAAGAGGCCAAACCCCTCTTCACCACAACCTCCCGTCAGGAAGTTGTAGAGTGCAATGAGGTCTCCCCTGAGCCTCCTCTTCTCCAGACTGAACAATCCCAGCTCCTTCAGCTGCTTCTCATAAGATTTGTGGTCCAGACCTTCTCCAGTTTTGTTGCCCTTCTCTGGACACGCTCCAGGCCCTCAATGTCTTTCCTGTAGTGAGGAGCCCAAAACTGAACACAGTACTCGAGGTGCGGCCTCACCAGTGCTGAGTAGAGGGGGATGATCACCTCCCTGCTCCTGCTGGCCACATGATTTCTAATGCAGGCCAGTGTGGCCACCTGGACACACTGTTGGCTCATGTTTAGCCAAGCTTCAACCAACACCCCCAGGTCCCTTTCCTCTTCACAGTCACCTAGCCACTCCATCCCAAGCCTATAGCGTAATGCATTGCCATAGCACTGTATTTTTTCCCAACCCAAAGTACACTACTTTCTCCTCATAATATGCTCCCAAACCATCTTTGTCAGATCTCTGTAATGTTTCCATTTCATTTGCTTGAAACTCTTTTTCTTTGATATGCCACAGCCACCTGACTTCTAAAGTTGACCAGGTAGAGTCATCTTCCTTGCTTGTTGTCTGAAATCCATGCCCATTCTCCTTTCTTTGAAGAATCTTTTATTTGTTTCGGTTTTCTGCACAATAAAATCTGTAAGCAGCGAGGCTTCTTTTTCTCACCAGCTCCTTGTTTTACCTCTCCACCAGTTTTACAAAACTTCTTTGCCATTTTTCATGTCTTCTTTTGGTTTTCATAACACATACCTTACCAAGAGGCAACACAGTCTTATGTTGAAATTCTGAAGACAACTTATCCACAATGACCAAATCAGAGACTAGGTTGGAAAGCAAAAAAATCTTTGTTAATTTTTAAAAAGCACATGTTTTGCAAATGTAATATTTATAAAAGCTCTAAGATCTAGCTGTAACACGCTCCCCATGTGCTCCTGGACTGTCTAGGAGGTTTTTGAAGCAGGTTACAAACACTCTGAGACCTATACCAATTCAAAGTCAGTTAACAGCTCCAGTTGCAGCGTGCAACCATGACTAATGCTGCTGAGTTGGAACTGACTTCTCTTCAGCTGGCTTAAATCACAGACAGAGACAACCCAGAAGACTTGTTTGATCAAATGGAAGTATCAACAACATAAAAGTTGATATCTGAGCCAGTTATCTAGGCTGTCTTTATAGTCAGTGGAGAGATATAGCTGTTTCTAGAATGGAGTTCAGCTCATCCTGAAGTTGGTGTAAAACAGCCTTACTTTGCTTAGTTGAGCTTTATGCATGCCTATGAATCCCCATTAACCATAAAAGGATCTTACAGCAACTTCACTCAGATGCAGATTTCTGAATTACTCGCCTTCAAATTAATGCATAAATTTATAGCCTGGACTGCATTCCAGTATGAATCTTTCTTTAGGGCTCTTTTCTTTCTCTAATGAATGCACAGGAAGCCTGTTCAAAACCCTATCAATTTTCCAAAGTTTGAGTAACAATTTCCTGAATGTGGATATGCATATGTCTGTTATCAAATGGTTATACTGCTGGATAAAATACTCGTTCAAATAAGTTATTTGCTAGTGGTGCACTAGAATAACTTACATGCATTTCCTTCGCCATGGTAATTAATGAATTTTAAATATATATCAAAGCAAAATAGCATGGTCCCTTCTACTGTTTCCAGCACCCTTGGTGGTAACTGTACAATTTCTACCAGTGGTGCACTATTCCTATTGTGTGGAGTACTTTGTTAACAATATGTGATGCATATGAAAATGACTGAATACTTAGATTAAATTTCCATACTGTTCAGTAACTCATCACAGAAACTATTTTAAAAGCTGTACAAATTTATCTCAGCAAACAATCAAATTATTTCCTCCAGGAGTGCCCAGTGAAATATTACACTTAAATCTGGAAGTATTATTTCCTTTAAAATTTTCCTTCACAGTGTTTTATTGATCTCTTTCTTGTCATTGCACCACCATGAAACATCTGTGTTTTTCCTTCAGCTCACCATCAGCTCCATTTGGAAAGTCTGTAAATTTTGTGCTCCTCTACAATCTATAGATAATTGATTCCAGGAGTTTGTGTCCACAGCAAACTGTGTAGCTGCAGTTCCACTTCATTTAACAATATACAGCTCTTTGTTAGGTAGAGATCAAAGAATATAATTTTATTAAGTTTTATTTGCCAGATTGGAGAAGAATGGTCTTCCTTTATTTTAAATAAAAAGGGCAGGGCAAGGGTTTTTCTTATAGGATATAGATGCATAGAGAGTTAAAGCAATTCATAAGTATCTTGAAGTAGTTTTCCAATCAACAGCCTTAATGTATACAGCATTCAAAATATTTTCACCATTATTAGCGAAAAGTGTTTCTACCAAAGAACACCGAAGAAGAAAAGCCCTGGGAAATGCAGATGTAAGCAATTACAATTCTACAGTTTGTAGATCTGGAAATAAAAGGACTTGGATGGAAAAAAAGAGGATAGGTTTATCTCTGTGTTGTGTTCCTATTCTTCATTATTTTATGTATTTGAGCAACTTTGCATAAGTCTCTGACTAACAGATCTACCCGTTAGCCTGTGTAAATGTCTGCAAGACAAGGCCTCGCCTGTGGTGGTGTTTAAGAGTCACTCCACTATGTCTAAAGACCTGAAACACTGAGATACCGAAGCACACACATAAAGCATGTAACGGGACATCACTTTATCAAAAGTTTGGTATTCATGTGTCTGTGTGAAGGAGATACCTCAGTGCTACTGTTTTCAGAATACTACCAACCATCCAAAAGCCTCCTTTACTGTCTGAAATTTCCCCTTTTGTTTATTTATTTGTTTTCTGAAATTGAGAAAAAAGGAAACACCTCCATGTCATTTCCATGTTAAGCTCTTCACTGAAAGAGTTTGTAAAACAGCAGCAGAGCATTTTCACTTAGAATTAAACATAAATCGGTGAGAGAGAGAGAGCTGAGTACAGACAGCAAGGCAAGGAAGAATGAAGATGCTTCAGATCAGACTTGAGGAGAGGTGAAGAATAGATGAAATGGAAAAATCAAAACAGGATGTCCTGAGAAGTAGCTGCCAAAAGCAGAAAGATTTTATTTTGGAATGGAGACTTTCACATCTCTTCTTTGGTACTTTATTACTTCTGTTTCAGGTTTTGTGAGGTCTGTGTATTTGTTTCTGCTGGGAAGCCTGGTGAGGATAGAAATCAGAGTTCAGTTTTCCTTCACTGTTAATTAAGTGTTTTTGGAATGTACAGTCATATTATAAAAAAGAAGACTGGGATGGTGGTACCACAGATCAGCTTAAATAGTTTTGGATACTTCGCTTTTTTGATTGACAGAAGTTGTTTATCGTTCTGTGCGACAAAACAGCAAAGTCGCTGGTTCTCATTTATTTTATAAGGTCAATTGCACAGCTTTGATTTCCTTCAGACAAACTTAATTTTCAGAGTACATAGAGTTAAAAGATGGGTCTAATTACTGTACAATGGGGCATTGTAATGAGATCAGACTACAACAGCTTGCCTAAGAGTTTTACAGCAAACAACAACAAATGTCAATAAGTACTTCCTCACAAAGTGAAAATACTTGAAAATATATTGTATATTTTATGTTGAAAATTCGAATCAGTTTGAAGAATGCACTAATTTTGCAATTAAAATCTCAACATTTTACACAACTTTGTATTGAAATGACATCTTCCTAAACTATTTTCTAGGCAGTTCCAATTTCAACATTAGAACGATTTCTCAGTTTTATCTACTAAAAGTGTTTGAAATGAAATACAAGGGAAGAATTAATTTTACTGATTTATTCAAAATATGAGGAATATCCTCTTTTGTACTGACTTTTTTTTTTCCAAATAGTGGAATTTCCTGACATTCTTGTCATAAATTTCCAGAGAATTCAGAAAACTTAAAATACACATAAAACACAACAAAATATTTACAAAATATGCCATGGCAATACACAAACACTAGTAACTCTGTCATTGATAACATCATACCATGGTTGTATTTAAAGTACAGTAAAAGTAATTGGTTATTTTTTTCTCCTAAGGTCACCCAAAAAACACAGATTACATTATCTTTTGTTTTGTTTTGTTGGTTTTTTTTTTGTTTGCTTGTTTGTTTGTTTTATTTTTTTTCTGGTTAAATTTTTGCTAAGCAGGAAATCAATATATCTGATTTTTCAGGAACAAATAACATCTCTGCTTAATGCTAGCATATTCCACATGCCTCACCTCCGTTTTTCTCAATAAAAATGTTACCAAGTGAGATAACTGCCAATGCTGGAGATAATCACACTGCTAAAGTTAGGTTAGTTAAAATATTGCTTCTTAATGTAAGTAATTTTATTTGACATGTTCCTTCTATAATAATATTTAAATGTTTCTCCGGCTTTTTTTTTTTTTTTTTTTTTAACAGAAGGAACTGAAAAATAGTGGTCTGGATTCACTCTTCTTCTATTTAGAAGTTTAGCCTGGCGTGTTTGCAGTATGTTTGCTACACGATATGGAAGCACTTATCCCAAAGAAACGAGGAATGTAGAGTCTTCAGCCTGGGAAAGATCTGGTAGAGGTGTGTACAATTGTCCCTCAGAGAAGCTGAATTGGAAACAGCTGATCACATTCTCTCACTTTTATCAAGAGTGGAACTCATCAACTGAGATAAACTCATGGCAGATTCCAAAGAAACACGAGAGTTGCCTAATGGTAAGGAATTAAATTTCAGAACTCATTGCCTTGGGATGCAGGGATGGGTTCAGAGAGATTAAGTACATCTGCAACATAAAGATTATTCGAAGGCTGATTTCAGACTTGGGATTCTGGACAGTTGTGAATATTTGGTCTGAGTCAGGATGACCATACATAGGCTCTTTGTTTTGTTCTTCTGAATGAGTCTCTGAGCAATCACTGAGGGCTGGCTTGAACTCCAGCCAGTTATGCCAGTGATTTCTCTGAAGGGTGGCATGAAGGAATTGCCCATGTCATTCAAGAAATCTGTGGTGCAGCAGGGTAATTCAGCTCTTCAGCTAGCAACTGAAAACATCCATCATGTCTTGTCAGCATTTTTTTGACTTAGCTTTACCCCAGAGCTCAAGCAATTATTTGCAGCTGAAAAAAAGGGCAGCTACAGTCACTCGTAAGATTTGGTCTCCTGCATGGCTGTATAGGAGACTTCAGTCGTCTTGTGGGCACAAATACAGTTTCTGAATTGCGAGTGTGTGTATGTATGTTATCATACTCTTTCACTGTGAAAGTAGTAACTACTGTATGTGGTAAAATGATATATTGTTGTCCGCAAAATGTCTTTGGCAACAGGATGTTCGCTAGCCTTGGAATTTTGCCTTGTATAAATATTTTTAATCTACTCCATGTAGGCATATTTTGGCTGCAAAATAAAGGGTTTTGGAGATTAATATATCCAGGCTCAGTTCTGCTTATACATCCTACATACATCAAGTTTTTATTGAACTCTGCATCTAGAATCTTTGTGTAGCAGCTGTTTTGGGGTCTTTTTTTTCTTTTGCCTGCTTTACTCAAAGGAGGATTATGACTATATCCTATTTTTATACTCTACAAATGTAGTAATTTAATCTACAGATATATTTTCATTCTTCAGATGTAACCTATATAAAGCATGTTCAAATTTATGGTCATTGCTTTTCCTGTAAAGTATATTATTGGCCTCTTTTCAAATGTCCACATTTTCCCAAGGAATGCCCAAATAGCTATTTATCAGTGAATAAAGAATACAATGATTATTTGACAGTATCAAGTACCTTTCAGCTGAGTGTCTCAAAGCTCTTTCAACCATTTATTAATCCTCAGCATGCCCCTGGGAAGTATCTTTCACCAGTCTGTTTTATTGGCACTGCAACTGGGCCTCGGAGAAGTTGCATGCTTTGTTTCAAGTCTGAGAGTCCATCATCCACAAGTGAAAGCATAGCCTTAGAGCTTCTGCTTCACCACTGCAGGATGGAAATATGCTGTGCCTTCTCACCTGTTAAAACTTCTGCCAGAGCAAGGCAAAGTTGAAAGGAAGACAGATGGTGATTCTGCCCATGTGTCCTTTACCAGCACTTTTCCAAATACTGCTACCATCAGAGGAAAATATACTTATGCATAAGTACACACACATTTACATCCTGCAGTTATTTAACAAACTTTTGTGTGCTACACTTCTGCTGCACTGGGTGTGTGATATTGATTTACCCCAACTGTCAGTGACATGGTGGAGAAGGTGACAAGTAATGAGCGGGTTCCTCCAGGCCCCAATCCTTGCTGAATGAGCTTTGGCAGCCCTAAGGAGGGGTTTGGTATAGGAAAACAAAACTGCAAGATCTGGGGGAATCGCATAGTGGAGAGGGGGTGTTTCTATAATTCAAACATCAACAGTTCTACTGTGAATACAGAAATAGCTTTCAGATGGACTGTGGACATTCACATCTTTGTCCAATTTCTGCCTCAATCTGGATGTGATAAAATGCCTCCAAATGCCAGTTCAGAATACAATTTAGCAGCTGCCCAAAGTGCCTTTAGTTAAAGTCAAGCTCCATTTTAGCAAGAAATGTGTTTTGCGCTTCTTACGGAGCTGGAAGCTGTTGCTCACGCTGGTTGTGTATGCTTTTCTTCACATGGCACTGTATACATTTCATGTGCCATGCAAGTTATATTAATTGAAAGAGACTGTGAGATGTTTTTTGGTTGTTTTTTTTTTTTTTTTCAGCACTGTGCTAGGGCAATTAGGCCAGTATTCCTGTAAGCTTATATCTCATTACAGAGGGACAGACACACATATTACTTCTGTAACTGGAAATGAAAGACTGACACCAGTGCTGGCCCGTGCATCTTCCTGACCAGCTCAATGGCCCTTGTAATGTGTGAATGCAAGAATGCGGGGCTGGAAGGTGGAGGTAATTCTCTCTCCCTCCTACTCTCCTACCTCAGAAATCAATAGAGAAGTGAATATCCCCCTTTCGTGAGTTCAACAAGCATTTGGCAGAGATCAGGCCATAGGAACAAGGAGGGATTGGGAAGTAGTGGTGGTGGACAGACACAGATTTCTAGAAACACAGTGCAATACAGCAGAGAAAGAATGGCAATCATCACTTAACAGCAGATGGTGATGGTTAGAACTGTAATGGGGGCCGAGAGATGTTTGCTTTCAGAGAGGTGAGATGGTACCTGTTCTCACCTTGACATTGCCATCACACTTTTGTGTGTCATACAAAATCTCTCAGTGGCTGCTGCCCTTTGATCAAGTGCATTCTGGGAGAAGCATCAAGTAATACCCTGATCACACTGAAGAGACAGATGTGCTTACACTGTTTCTAGAACCTTGAGTGAGAGGTGGTGGGCAGGATGGTTGTACTGAGCTGCTCATAACTGCTGCAGAGGAAACTTTTGTTCTTTCTTTTTTCTTTTTCTACTATTCTGCCTTAATGGGGAAAGCAACTCATTGCTTCCCCTTCCAAAACATATATTACAGACAGGAAAACTGGATCACAGATTGCATTTTTTTTTTTTTTCATACGGAGAAAAGAAGCTCCATTCTCTCAGCTTGTCTTCATACATCACATATATTAAATCTTCTGCCCCTCTGTTTACCTTGTTCTCTCTCCAGCATACCTGTGTCCTCCTTCAAACATATAAGTCATCACACTTCTTTATATGAAACCTCATTATTTCCAAGTAAATTACCTACCACATCTCATGTAAGATTTTCCCTCAACTTCTTGCATAGTGAGACTTGCAAAAGCACTAGTTTGTTGAATAATAAGTATGCAATTTGCTCTAGCCAGAGTTGACTTTTTCTGTACTTCTGTGATTCAGAATCATGGGGCTTCTCTGGGTTTTAGATCCTCAGACTGTCTTGCACGTTCAAAGTAGCTTCTGTTTGTGGGCGAGGGAAGTATTATCTCCCCTAAAGAAATTATATTGAAAGTTTTGCATTCCCCAGAGTCTCCCCCTTCCCTTCCTGCAGGGTTTCCCACAAGAGGCGAGTGATTTGGCCCCTGAAATTGATGCTATTTTATGAATAGTTAGCTTCATGTGTTTACAATGTGCTAATGATGGCAAAGCATAGGAAGTCTTTAACCTAATGCCACTGCAGACTGAGCCACTGTATACATTGAGACTTTTTTTCTGCTTGCCACTGCCTTTTTAAAAAGCAATTTTCCCTATAACTCATTTTTACCTTAACTTCACCATCAATAAGAGTAAACCCCAGGCCTTTCCAACAGACATGGATTGTTTCCAAATACAGAGACCTGTCTCCAGCAAGTTATTTCCAAATCTTGCCAAATAGCTTCTCTTCCCAAATGAGAGTTTATAACAATATAATATAACCTCACGTGACCACTGTTGGTTTTTTAATGATGGCCACCATTACACAACGGATACATAAAAAGTGTTGGTAGCAGCTCTTCTCCTTGATCTTCATGTCATTATTGCTACCCACATCTCTTTTATCCCCAGAGACCAGGAAATGAATGCCCTCACACTCCTATGTTGGGCTAATCAGAACTGAAAGTCCTCGGTTTTGCCTCACAAGCCTGTCTGGATACATTCCTCCTAAGCTTGACCTCACTCACTGCACCCTTCAGGATGTTCTAACATTTGATCTTCCACTATTTTATTTATTATGTGACAGTGCTGGCTTTGCTCCTTTGGCTGCATGGGATATACATTTTGCATCCCAGGAGTCACCAGGGATCGTGTGAATGTCCCAGTAATGGAGGATGTAAAAAGTCCAAGATTTAAGTACAAAAGTGGGAATTAAACTCTTAAGAATCTGTTTTATACTTAGAATCCTCCAGCTAACGTACCAGTTCTCCTGGCTGAAGTGTAGTAATAAAATGTTCTGGTATTTTGTTGAACAGGAAAGATTCAGAATAACACTGTCTTTTTGGATATACATTTGTAATTGAGTAGTACATATTTCTGTAGTTTAGGTAGTCATGTTTGACATGATCTGTAATAATTAGCAAAGCCTCGTTGACCCATAGCACTCTTAGCTGCAAAATAGAGTCTGCAAATTTCTTCTTGAGGAAAATTCACCCTTAATGTAACTCCATTAACTTCATGCCCTTGAGATTTATACTGATATCTACAACTAACATCAAAGAGTTCAGCTAATTAAAGCAGGGAATAAAAATTACCCTTTTCTATCCCTTAAAATTCCACCCGGGCTAGAAGGGAAATCCCCTGTGTTTTTTATTGTCCCTTCCCAGAAGGATAAACAACCTTCTCTGTGAGTTCTTGTCTTTTCCCACTGTGACAGTTAAATGGACACTGCTGGGTTGAAAGTAACGCTCCTAATACTGTCTCTTATTTGCACTAGTATAAATCACTAGTAGCTCCACTGCTGCAAATGGAATTACAGTGGTAATAAGAATCAGTATAGATGGGAATAAAAATGGGTCCTCATATTTACAGCAAATGAAACAGCACTATCTACATGGTATCTATAACCTGTCACTCCAAACTGTTTCCTGTTCCCCAAACTTGTTCTTAAAATCCAAATTACCAGACTTTATGGTGTTAACTCATTGTTTCCTTAAACTTACAGCATTTACATGCTTCAGTTATATTTTATTTTCACCACATAAGATAAAAAAAGTATTTTCCACAGATCCTATAATATAATAAATGTCATTCTTGGGAACAGCAATAACAGGTAAATTTTCAATTGTGACATTATGTATTCTTCTACTTTAAACAGTGGAATATCACTGTTTGTTCTGGTCCCAAATAACCTCTAGGTGTCAAAACCTGAGAAACATATGTGAAATTTTCAAAAGCCTACGTGTATCATCTCAGTAACATTTTTTCCATAAACTATATAAGATTAAGTTGAAAGGGAAATATCTTTACTTAAAAGAATTGTAAACCTCAGCGCTGACTTTTGGAAAACTAGAAATATCAAAATGTTCCTCAGAACAGAAGATTCATGTAAAAAGTTTTTAGTCACAATTGAGATATAGTTTTGAAAGTTTCTGAATTAAATAGTTCTTGGAAGCTCACTCTCCAAAGCTCTTTGGTCAAGGTTTGAACACTGCCCAACACCACTAGGACTATGGAGGGTCAAGTAGGGCTGGGACAGACCTATCAATGTGAAACACTGAAGAATAAGCAACTTCTGGTCCAACAACCAATAAGTGGGTTGGGAAGAACATTGTAGACTTCCAGCAGGACCCTGTACGTATTTCATC